CTGAAGACACTGCTAATGGGTCACGTTTGCAAAGCACTTGGAGATGTACTTGGCAGCATTGCCATCTTTGGGAAAGGCTAAGGGAAAGGCACTGACAAGGAGCTGCCAGAAATTCCTGCCCCAACAGACAGTCTGCTCCCAGTGCTCCAGCTAAACAAAGCAAATCCTGAGCCCACGGTGCTGCTGGGCCCATCCCCACCTTGCAGCCACTGAAAAGAGGGGACCAACCCCCCGTCCAAGAACAGGAAACTCAGCGAGCAAGAGGGAAGGACCCTGCCACTAAAAGATCCTTTGCTTTCACTGGCAGACTAAGAGGATTCCAACCTCCCTCACCCGTCCTGGTTGGGCAATTTGACAGAAGCTTTGCATCTGAAGTTGCATCACAAAAATATTTTAAAACAACATTGAAGAATGAAGAGGCCAAAACAGGAACAGGACATGACTAGGACCTCATATTCCACTGGCTGCAAGACTCATGTATGAGAGGGGAGACCCATCTTCCCAGCACTGCACTGTGGCTCATGAACCATTTCTTGTGATACCATTTCCTGTACCATTGGAGAGCAGCCTTCCTCCACACCACCTGCTCCCAGTTTACCAATTACCATTTAATGTCCTCCATCTGTACAATGGCAGCACTGGTACTTCCTGACCTCACAGGTATGCCTGTGTGTCTGCATCTGTGAAGATAAATATATTAAAGATTGGGAAGCATTCAGGCCCTGGGCCAATGGGAGCCATATAAGTGCCAAAGAGACTAAGACAAATGAGGGCCATATAAATAGATGGCTGGAGAGCTGCAGTCCCGAGGCTACAGGCAAGAAAGGGGCAGAGGCAGAGACAAACCGTGGGAAAGAGCCCTGTTTGAAGTCTCTGACAGAGCACCCCAGTGCCAAGGAACATGGAGCAAAGCCCTGCTCCTCACACTGAGAGCTCCATCAGGAGGCACCCCAAGGAGGAAGAGGAAGGGCTGTCAAAATAAGCCCAGCTTTAGAGCAACAGCTGATAAGGGAGCCTGGTGACATGCAGGAGCCCTGCCATGGCTTCTGCAGAGGTGCCAGAGGTGTAAAATGGCTTTGGCTCCCAGCACAGGTCCTGGGCTCTCCTGGCACCACCCCCAGCTCTTGACACAGACAGTTCAGGCAAGGAAGCAGGGACTGAGCAAGCAGAGGAGTCCCCACTCGGTCCATGACACACGGACAGTCACCAGGAGCAGATCCACCCCTACCTGCCTCTGCATCCCCAAAACTCGGTGGACTTCAGTCTCCAGCTCTGTCAATCCCGCTGCGAAATGCACTTCATAAAGTGCTATAAATCATAAAACGCATCTCCCCCTCAGATCCACTGCCTCTTCTGCAGCTACTGAGGAGGAAAAAAGGCACCTGGGAGAAATCTGGCCCACAAAGGTTCACAAAAGACTGCACACAGCGCCTTACTGGCAAAGAAAGAAAAAAGAACAGAGGAAAGGTAGAGACTGTAAGAGGTTAGAGGGAAAAGCAGCAATATCCTTTGAGAGCTCCCTGAGCTTTTCTGCCTGGTAAGCTTTGGGGATCTCGCTCAGCTTTCAAGAAGGCAGCAGCATTTTTCAGGGGAAAAAACCCCGTAACATGGAAGGGACACAGATCCTAACCATCAATATAGTTATAAAGGAAATAGGAAGATTTTGCCACAGTGGGTCTGCAAAGCACCTCCCAAGACTCCAGCTGGTTAAGCCAGGGGAGAGACCAAGAGAATCTGCTCTCCATTTCTTCCATGGAAAAGAAGAAATTTTTACCAGGAGGATCTGTCTCCATTTCTTCCCTGGTACACCCATACACTGCTAAAGCAACACCTCCTCTTGGCTTTATTATTTAACATTTATTAAGGCAGCACCCAGAGGCCCTCCCAGATCCTCAGTAATGTACAAACACATAGATAGTTCTACCCCCCCAAAGATATTTAAAAGCAAACCACAGAGCACAGCAAGGAAAAGGGAACAGGCAGAAGGGTAGGGACAGAAAATACCTCTTTAAATTCAGAGCAGCCAAGAGCAGAGTCACAGAGCTGATTAAAGGCTGTGGAGATGCATTTCAGTGAGAG